GTGGGTATTCTATACTGAAAAGCAAATGAGCCAGAAGTTCTTCTAGTGAAGACACAGAATATAACAGATAATAATTCCACTTACAGCTCTATTCTGCTCAGCAAGTCCACCAATGAGAACATCTGTTGGTACTCCATCAACTTTGCAATAGGCCTACCAGCACAGAGCACAGTATGCATATTATCCACCCAGCAAGTTATGAATGAGGAGCATTGAGAAATCTTAAGCCCACACTACATCTCCATATAAGAAGAGAAAGAAATAAGATCACAAACCTCATGTCTGTTGTGCGCATTGACTCTAAACAAAGCTTTAAAAGCTTCACCTTTCTGAAAAATAAGATAAAAATGAGTCTCGGTAAGTACTTTCTTCAGCAACAGAGGTCCATTCAATACAAATAGAATCATATACAACGAGTAAGCAGCACAGGAATCATGTCATTAAGACCTAATAAATTTACCTCTAAAGCGTCATTAGTAGCCTCCATAGACCAGTGTGGAGCAAAATATTTTCTTCGAGCATAACCCTCAATGTGATGAGGAGGGATATCCTTTAGTATAAATATTCCAGGTGATTCTCCACAAGCCACTGATTCAGGACAAGAATTTGCAAACACTCTTCGACCAGGATCACATGGGAGAGAATGTTGATTTTCCAAACTTTGCACATCCTCGGGATTTTCTTGTTCATTGATGTGTATAGTTGGCAATGAACTGAAGGGAAAATTAGATGCTTTGATCATTCCATGCTCATATGGAGGATGCAGGACAAACTGATGTTGCTTCAAGGATGTGGTTACATGATCAGACGTTCTTCCATTTCCCAAGCACTCAGAAACTTCACTGCGTATTTCATTTGCTGAATTAGATGCTGCCATTAGCAAGAGGTGAAAACCAAATATGAAAGTCAGCACCAATGAACACACACAACAGAGAAAGTAGACACACACAAAAATCAAATCACGACAGTGCATTATAGGAGCAAAAGAAACACCGCATTAAAGGGTAGGAAAAGAGAAAAGGCAAACCATAACAATATTTATAAAGATATTCACTATTAAGAACGATGTGTGACTTATTCAGCATGATGACATCTCATTCAGTAAGCGTACTAATAAAGATGAAAAGAACAAAATAAGAAATTATGCTTTTTAAGCAAAAATATCTGATAAATACTTGAACCTAGAATTCAGAGAGCATTAGATATCTCCAGCAAAGTCCAAATTGATCCAATCAGGTAGTGATTACCTTAGAATTTGCAGGATAATCCCACTCCTTGACTAGGATTTAGATTACCCAGCAGCTAAACAGCACCAATAGGTTACTGACAGAAGCATAAACATAAAAGACACAAAAACACGAAAATACTAATACCCACATTAATCAAATTTTCTGTTTAAACCAAGTCAAGACTGAGTTTGTACCTTCAAAACTCAGGGACACAAAACCAGTAATTCAGAAATGAAACTTGCTCAGTGTGCTTATTGTATATCCGAAAACCAATGAAATAGGAAAAAAAAAAAAAAAAAGGGAAATTAATCAAAGTACCTGAGGCGGAAGAGTTTTGTTTAGATCGGCGACGGCGCTGCTTCTTCTTCTTCTCCTTATCGCCATCTTCAACCCTGTCAACCACAGCTTGTACAACCGCGCCTTTCATAATTTCAAGAACAAAAAACAAAAACCCAATCTCCGAAAGAACCCAGAAACGAAAAACAAAACAAAAGCAAATAAGATTGAAAGGAAGCTTTGAAAAACACGAAAGAAGATCTTTTTTAGAAAGATCTGAGATAGAATTTTGAGGCGTCTTCCGATTGGGAAAAAATATACGGAAGGAACCGCAAAGAGAGAGTGACAGAGAAATTAAAGAAGTTAAAACCAAAATAATGAAACGGAAAAAAAGTGAAAAAAACGGAGAGGAAGAAACAAACAAGAAGAAGAAAAGAAGAGGGGGAGAGGGAGTTAGGGTTTTATAAGAAAGTGGAAAACACAGTGAGAGAGAGATTTTGGCGGTGGTGGAGAACAGGGTATAGAGGTGGGGGAGAAAAGGACGTGATGATTGGTCGGCTAAGCTAAAGAAGACATGAGGCGCCGACTTTCGATTCCTTTGTCTTTCCCTTTTCTTTCTCTCTCTCTCTCTCCCCTCTTCTTTCTTTGCCTTTTGCTTTTCTTTTCTTCTCTTTATCGCTTCCTTTTCTTCGCTTTTGGTTTTTTGGGAAAATTTTCTAATTAAAACGAAGGATTACATTTTTTTTGGTCAATAAAAGAGAATGATGACATTTGACACATGTTTGTGTTATGGTTGAGTGGTTAAAGAACACATTTTTAGTATGTGGGAGATTTTTTATTAAATATTTTATGTTAAAAGTTGATTACATACTTTTAATATTGAGCATTGGATTGTATTCATTAAATATGTTGGTAGTCTCTTAGATGTAATTCAACGGTCGAGATTAGAAGTATGTAACCAATCCTTAACTTAAATACTTATTGGAAAATGCCCCCTTAGTATGAAGTTAAGGGCGAACCTATGAAGAGGCTCCCACTACGATAAAATATTAGCCCACTTATCTTTTAGAATTCTTCCTACTTTTTTGATTTTTTTGGGTGAACCGGGGGAAAACCCCAAACAAACTAAACAAACTAAACAACAAAGATCAAACGGGCCCTAGACACCCCTAACAAATCATCCACCAAATAAGTCTCAACCCAACTTTGAGCCTCATCAAAAACGCAGATGCCAAGATCTAAATTATAACTCCAAGCAGCCAGTCGATCTGCAACAGAATTCAGCCTATTCAAGCCACCCAAATCAATTTTTTTTTCCTTCTACCTACTGAAATCCTACCATATTTTCTATAAAAATATATATATAATCCTATCCTATGATATTAATTAGCCAAAAATTCGTGGTTATAAAAGATCTCCCAACAAAAAAAAAAATTAGCCCACTTTTATAAAAATTTATGGGTCTGCCATTGTATGTAGTAGAATAGTTATAAATTAAATAAATAAATAAAAAGAATAGGATTTTGTAATTAAAATATAAAAAGTATCAATTGTTGGGTAAAGATGAGTAGAATCGTTGTTAGTGAAAGAGTTCACCTAAGATTTGATATAAAAATACAAAAATGTAAATAATAAAAATAAAATTGTTAAGAATTTGGGCCATTTCATCATAAAAATCATATGAAATTTGAACTTATTTCGACTGCGATGACAAAAGTTTGAGAAAATATATATTATTTTGTTACATCTCATGTACTTAGTCACTAGACTCATTAATGTAGTGATCTTCCAACAAATCATTTTGCCAATAATATAATTTTTGTTCAACAATTATATATCATGAGATTTGAGTACTCGTGACTTCCTTCAATAAAGTAGAAATCAATGTGAAAAAATATAACGTAAAATTATATATTATTATTTAAGGCGATGTAGAAATCAATTACTCTCTCAAATTATGTTATTCCATGCGTGAGAGTGGGAAAGCCTTTCACATTGAAATGTGACATAATTTATAATGCGGCTTTGAATGTATTGTCCTCCATTTATACCTATTAACTAGCTTACCTAGCTCACTGCTCCTTATCTTGAAAGACTTGTTTAGTGCCACTGCCACTTTTGTTGAGGAATATTCATGAGATCGTGCCGCTCATCTAGAGATATGTTGGAGCAAAATCATCTATATTACTAATTTACTATTAGGATGCTTCTTTTACCAAATTCATCATCAATTATGCATATGGTTCAAACAATACTTTGCTAGGGCACAAACAATCATGAGTTTCTTTGACATGATAGCATAAATAAGGCTATGGAGATATTTTGAATTTTGTCCTAAGAATATACTTTATTCTCCTTTTTAAATGAATACACTCATTGCATTCTTACCTAAAATAATGTCTTTATCATTCGTCAGATTTCTTAGGTGAACTTCCATAATGATTATTGTCGAAACATAACTAGCAGAATAGCCTTTTTAAATGAAGACACTGATTGCATTCTTACCTAAAACAACATCTTTATCCTTTATCAATTACATGAACTTCCATAATGATTATTGTCGAAACATAACTAGCAGAATAATTTGAAATTCTGCACACGCATATAAAATTGTGATTGTCAGAAAAATATTTTCGTTTAATGAATGTCATTTTACCATGGGTTGAAGCCTTTGTCACTCACACTGTTCTATCTACTTCTGGTCAAGATATATTTGATTGCTTAAAAGAAAAGGAAATAAAAATGAGACAAGACAACTACTTAAACCAAACTTCGTTTTGTACGGGTTTAAATAATTAACACAAAAGAAGACAAGAGACTGTCTATTTTGGTGTTTGAAGATACCAGCGAGATTAGTGCTAAAATTGATAAAAATGATGTGTGGTCAAATCAGTATTCAGTAGTGCAGCGCAATGCTTGCAGCTAATAGGTTAGGCAAGTATGATATGAAGGGGGGAGCAACCCCATCAATTATGAATGTTGCTAAATCTCATCTTTCTGAAATTTTATTCAATTTTTTTTTGGTTTTATTTATTTCACTCTTACATTGACCTACCCTTCTATAATTGATTTATAAGTTAAAATATGTTGGTATTTGTCAAATTTAATAAGTCAAGTCACAACATTTATAAATTCACTTAGTAATAATAATGTTCAGGTAATTAATCTAATTTAAATGGCAACGATGTCTAATTCAATAAAAAAAGATATTTACTTATAGACTATTGGTCTTATGTTCGAACCATCATGACACCTTGGTTCTATGTGTGAGGTTCCCCTTCCCATTTTTTAACTGTGGCAAAAAAAAAAAACTTAAAATAATTTAGTCCAAAAACATTTATCGTGTGTTCGTATAATCACAAAAAAATAAAGGCCGTAAGGCTCTTATACGTATCCAAGTTTCAATTGGGTCCATTGACAAACAAAAACAAAAGATGCAATTGGGTCAAATTTGGCCCAACCACATGACTTGACCCATTTACCCAAAGATCATTCGGCCACATTTCCCTATTTCTAAGCTCTAACCCTAGCCCCAAAGATTTCATTTTGCATCTAAACCCTTCAGCCGCTTCGCCTCTCTCCATCTCCTCAGCGCCGCACCCTCCTCTTCTTTCTGATCCTCTTCGCAATGGCTGCTGTTGAACCTCCGGCTCCGGCTCCCGTTCCAGTTCCGGCTCCTGCTGCAGTAGAACCCACTTTGCCTCACCACGACGTCAAGCTCTTCAACCGCTGGAGCTTCGACGACGTCCAGGTTCTGATTAATATTATCATTGTTAGTTGATTTTCGTATATGTCTAAAATCTGTTTGATTTATTGCCTGTTCGGCCTCGAATTCGTTTTCAGGTGAGTGACATCTCCCTGGCCGATTACGTTGGAGTGGTACCAGCGAAACACGCCACTTATGTGCCTCACACTGCTGGGAGGTACTCAGTGAAGCGATTCAGGAAGGCCCAGTGCCCCATTGTTGAGAGGCTTACGAACTCTCTTATGATGCACGGAAGAAACAACGGGAAGAAGCTCATGGCTGTCAGGATTATTAGGCATGCCATGGAAATCATCCATTTGCTCACTGACCTCAACCCAATCCAAGTCATTGTTGATGCTGTTGTTAATAGGTCTGTAGGTGGATGCCAATATGTTAATAGTTATTTTGTTTATATATTTTTTTTCTGGGTTAATTTCATATTAGCATACGCTGCTTTCTGATTACATTATGGGCTTTTTGTGTTAATCAGTGGTCCTCGTGAAGATGCCACTCGTATTGGGTCTGCTGGAGTTGTTAGGCGTCAGGCTGTGGATATCTCACCTTTGAGACGTGTTAACCAGGCAATCTATTTGCTTACAACCGGTGCTCGTGAGTCGGCTTTCAGGAACATCAAAACCATCGCTGAATGCTTGGCTGATGAACTGATTAATGCTGCAAAGGGTTCCTCTAACAGGTACTGATCACGGGTTGCTCGTTTATTTTCAAGGCTAGTTTATTTTTTGTTATCTTCAGTTTGATTAAATTTGATTTATTTTCCTCTGTTTGTCTGTAGTTATGCTATCAAGAAGAAGGACGAGATTGAAAGAGTTGCTAAGGCTAACCGTTAAGAGGCTACAGGAAATGGTGATGCAACAAGGGGAAAGTTTTGTTTGCATTGGTTTATTTACCCTTTTGTTTGGAAACTTTCTGTTTTATAGTTGAACATGTTAGATTTTTATGTCGTATCAGTACCGAATTAGATCAGTCATCCATTTAGTTTGGATCCTAAAATCTTATGTGGTTGAATGTTTTTGGTGACTTAAATTTTGTTTCAGTTATGTTTCATTTCAGAAGTGGAATTGTTGTCTTTCTTTATAGTTTGAAATCTACAATTACTTATTACCCCTCAATTGTGTTTTTTATGTTTTTTCTGTTTACAAATTCTTTAGCTCGATTGTTTCATCATACTAGACTGATGCTCTGTGTCTCAGTCTTGCATTTTTTTATAATAATCACTTGCATCTGAAGAAGTGATCTGCTGCTGACATGATGGATTGCTGCTGCAGGTTTGTATTGTTAATGCTATGGTCCTCTGGTAGTTAATCAAACTAAATTGTAATAAAGTCTGGTAGTTAATTATTCATTCATTATCATACTAGGCTAGTGAAAGTACTAAATTGGTGATTAGGGTATGATCACTAGAGGTAATAGAACTTATTTGGGTAACAGTACAATCACTAGTATAAATGTTATACAACGAACCCCGAAATTCAGTAGTCTGTCAATTTCATATCTTTAGTTGGATTACCCATTTAATCCAAATAAAAAAGTTGGGTCGACTGTGGCTTTATTTACAGAGTACTGCTGTTACTATTCTTTGCTAGATGTTTGTGTGCCTTTAGATCCTCGTATAAGTTAAACGGGAAATGATTTTGTGTGGTTAAACTTTAGTGTTGTAAGAACAAAACCAAGTGGTCGAAGTTGAAGCATTGTTCTTCTTCTTTATAGTTCCTACTATCTTTTTCTAATCTCCTAAGTTTCTGCAGTTGAAATATAATTCAGAGATGACAGTGTTGTAACATTGCCGTGTTACTTTGAAAAATGATACCTTTATAACAACTCCATGGAAATGTAACATTTCTGATATTGACTGACCTGATTGGATATTCTTGATTGTGTGGAGCGATTCCAAATACAGAGAAATAGATAACATTTTATCCCAAGACTTATTGTATAAAGTTATTTCAAATACATTGTTTCTTAGTTTTTCTAGTAAATTTAGCATTTTTGTCAGAACTCTCCATTCAAATGGAGCTTTATATATATATTTTCTGGTTCACAAGAGAAACTTCATGTATTTTGGAGAGATTGCAACTAAAGAAGAGAGTGAGAGCTGGAAATCTGCAAATTTTTAAATTTTATTTATTTATTTAAGGAATAGATTATGTAAAGTTTGGGTGTTTTTCGTCCAAAAAGTTTGGGTTTATGTCCGTTAGAGTCATTCTATGGTGAGGGCCTTATCTAAGGTCCTTAGATGAAGTCTTATATTTTAATTGTTGGATTAAACTCATCAATTTGATCAAACAGTTAAGAGATATACCCTCATATAATGGCCTTATAAGGCCCTCACTATAGAATTCTACATGTCCGTTGAGCGACATGGTTTTTTTTCTTTCTTCTTTTTAAAAAGAAATAATAAGAAAGTAATTTTAAATTTAAATTAAATTTGTGCTCTTTTAGAGTATTTGATGGTAGTGGAACACCACATAAATTTCTCCCAAAAAGGGGGGAAAATGAAACTAAAGAGAGCATTCATATAATTGATCCCTTCTTTGACAATTTAGCTAATCTGAAGCAGTATATAGCTATTTTATGATTTATTAGTATTACCTATACACATTGCATCACTGGATATAAATATAAGAATAAGATAATACATGGTGACGAGAATGAAGGTTCACCTCACATCACAATGTTGTAAGCGAAGTCGCAATCCAATTATTCAACATCTAATAAACCATTATTTCTTTCTTCTTTTTCGTACATATAATATGGTGAATTTGACAGCTCCTCCAACAGCGAGTAAATCTTTAAAATCTAAATACAATCCAACTTGTCATATTAGGCTGAGTATGACAGATTTCATAATAGTGTTAAATTCAATGCCGATATTATAGCGACTGAAATTAGCATTTCTCCGTGAATAATTCAATAGAAAAAATAATAATATTGTAAGAGTCGCCTTTAGTCGGTTTAGTCGGTAGCTAATTTATTACATTATAATGACTAATTTAATGGCTCTCTTGGTTCGGTTTGTCAACAATGACAAATTAAGAGACCGCCAAAATTGAAGCTAATGCGGCTGCAATGCCTTTGTATGTCCAGGTCATATCTGATTAATTTTTGTTCTTTAATTATTGTAATTATCATAAATATGTCTACTTGGACTTCCAAAATAAGCATATGTATGTGGAAAATGGGGAGCAGCTACTTTATTTGCTTGTAGAAAATCAGAAAAATTATGCAATATTACTGTAGCAAGCACAAGCGCTTTGGGAACTTTGGCTTCTTCCAAATCTATGGAATATCAAAATATTTATATATGGCCATAACAAAATATTAAATATAGGCTGATTAGAAATGGGTTATAGGCTAATAGGCTGATTAGCACTGGGAGTTAGGCTAATTAATTATTATCAAGGGAATGATTGAACAAAGGGGTAAGGCTCATGTGGATCAATGGGTTAGGCTTGCATGGTTGTCACCCGGATTTTATGGAGATCAGAATAATTGAAGGCTAAAACGAATCTCCAGAATCATGATACACTCACACTTACTGACTTACAGCTATACATATATATACAAATTTGAACCGCGGACTATATGCTTGTGACCAATTCTTAACCGTTGATGCATTACAAACTCGTGCGTGCGTGCTAACGCCACCAATCTTAGCATTACTCTAAAAACTTTCAGCAGCATGTTGCGGGCTGCGAAGGCTGGATTGGATGTGACTTGCCAGCCATCCCTTTGCAAGACTTTCATATCGAATTAAAGGAACAAGGCTTACATCAGTTTTGCACATGTGTGATGTATGTTTGCTAAAAAATGACAAACAATGAAGGGAAAGGGTCAAACATGATGTGCCTTTATTGCTATAATCGGATGACATCAAGTTCACCTCTTGATTCTGGGTATCCTAGCAGCACATGCTCATACAGATAAAGCACATCATTGCTAACATCAACTCCAGTAACTAGCCAAACGATGATCGCATTCAGCAAAACTCTGAGTACGAGCTTGTTCTGATATAATGTTCAGATTTCCATTATTAATAAGATCGATATTGTCTTCAAATTAACTACATGCATAGTTCATGAGATGTAAGGTTTCATCACAAATAAGGTAAAGAAAGAGCTTCTCTTGTTTAATTCAAATATCATGTTGACTTTAAGACATGATTCCTTGCTTGTTAGTCGCTAACCTTTTCTTTTCAATAATATATCCAAAAATAGAACCCTTGTCGTGTGCAATTTCGTTCTGCACCTAGAAAGACGCAGACAATGCAAGTTCTGACGAGCGGTGGTGAGACGAATGGGGACTTGGATATCGAAGGTTTCGAATCGAATATATAGAACCTGCTAATTCTAACGATTGAAAAGAATACCAGTGCGTATTTCATGAGCTCATACAAAAAGGATTGCATTTAGAAAGGGCAATATTTTAAAAAATAGTATTTTATTTATTCTAAATAAGAAATTGAAACATCATACGTAATATCGGTTGATAACTAGAAATTGAGATAATAGTTAGTGACTTCAGTATTATTATTATTGATGCGTAACTTATCATTCATATAGACAAGACTAAGAGTATGATGAATAGTGTCAGATATATTCACCACTCGATGGAGATTATCGCACTGATGAAGAGAATTAAGTGCAAATAACAACACAACCCTTGAACACCACACAACCACATTACCCGCCAAATTACGTGGAATATCAATTTGAATTTTTCATATAAAATAGTTTGTATTTTATAATAATTTACACTGTTATTCTTTTCTTCTGGAAAATATATTTAATTTAAAGCAAAAGAAATAACTAAGAGGTGCATCCAAAATCCAAACACGAAAATTAGTAATAAAAGCGTAGTCTTAATTAACAGATTCGCAACCTGAATACATTCACGACGAACAAAAGGAATTTTTTTTTTTAGTATTATCTAAAAGAATGCTCATTGTCAATTATTTTTTTGCAATTTTAAAAGTAAATCCCTATTTACATTTATAGATTAAAAGAAAATATATTAAGGGTGGACCGTAGAACAGTAATTACAAACGAGCCCATTACTTCATTTGCAAAAGTGATTTTGGCCCTCTCAATAGGAAGTGATTTTGGCCCTCTCAGGATCACTTCCAAACGAGATATTACTTCATTTGCATTTTTTCTTTTCCCCTCGTGTTCCAATTTTAAAAAATAAAAGAGAGGGAAAAAAAAAGCACCACTCATCCTCATTGTTTCTTTTGTCTAATTACCAAACCGATTAACCAGTTGACACGAACATGACCTTGAATTTCACTCATCGTCTTCTCCACTCAACCAAGCCATTCCAATTTCTGAAGACCAATCATCCAATACAACAATCCAACACAAACCCACTTCCATTTCCCAATCCTCCACTCCCCCTCTTCACTCTTCGACCCCCAACTCGCTCCAACTCACTGTATGGACGAGTCAGCTCACTCCTCCCACGTTCCCATAGCTCCTCTTCAAGCCCATTCAGCACCCAAATCGTTCTCGAAATCTTCATCCTCTTCGCGTTCTCTCTGGTGCTTCTTTGCCTTCGGCTCTTCTCCAGCGTCCTATTGCCCGATTTTCCTCGCCGGTGGCACGGCCTCGTGGCTTTTGCTTCGGAAGCTGAGGCCAGAACCAGTGCCTACCCTTCGCACCTGTGGCAAGCCATTGTTGCTTACGAGGACAGAAGGTTCTTTAGCCATTTTGGGATTGACCCAGTTGGGATTGCTCGTGCAGTGGTGTCGTTTTCGGCTCTTGGCGGTGGCAGCACGATTACCCAGCAGGTACTTATTTTTGTCGACCGTTTTACGCAGACCATTTGTTCGATGTTTTTACTCAAAGAAGTATAATTTTTGTTTGCTTTTTACTTGTTTTTAAAAAAAAAATGGCTCTTTTTATTTTGATTGACGTGTGGAGTGTAGGCAATATTTTATGAAGTATGATTGATGGTTGAGAATACATTATATGAAAAAAGAATAGTTAAGAGGGGTATGGTGCTATGGTGGACAATCATACTAAAAAATGGCTTTCTAGTTTCTGATGTCTCCCCGGCACTGAAATCTTTACAGCTGAATCATAATGGCATGCGTAATGCTTTTATTATAAAGTAGGGTGATAAAATATAGAAAATTGGAATGATAATTGTGTGATTATAGATGGTCGGGATATAAAAAGGTGTTAATGCACGACACGCCAATCTTCTTCGTTTAGCTAACGACTTGCTGAGGTTTGACCGGCACTGAGATTTTAATATATTGCCACCCCAGCTGATGTAGGCGCCGAATAAACGATTTACATCTACTTTGTCCACCAATTAGGAACAAGTTGGTGGAGAGAGATAGTCAACGCTAACGTAAAACACAGAAGGAGAATTGGAGAAAAGACATAGAGATAACCAGAATAGACCATTTCCAGCCTCAACAATACACCCCTTCGTCAAACACTTCACTTGTTTTTGCTCTTCGTTCCATCAAAACCCTGCATGGGGTCCTTCTTATTCATCCCTACTATTTTCTTACTTTTTGTTCTCCTTGTTCTCGTCTCCGGTGGATCTTTCTCAGAGTTCATATACCCGAATTTCTCAGCTTCACACTTTCAATTCGTTGACAACAAAGGCGGTGCCTTCTTGTCCTCTCGAAATGGAACATTTAAAGCTGCTATTGTCAATCCTGGTGCTGAACAACCCAACTTCTACTTGTGCATCATCCATGTGGCATCCAACACCGTCATCTGGACTGCTAATCGTAATGCTTCCATATCAGCTTCTGGTGAGATGAATCTAACGGCCAAAGGTGTTAGCATTTCAGATGAGGATGGTACTCCCGTATGGTCAACTCCATCATTGAAGTCACCAGTTTCTGCATTACTGCTGAATGAAATGGGTAATCTTATCCTTCTTGATCAATTCAATGGTTCCCTTTGGGAAAGTTTTCACTATCCAACCGACACGATTGTGATTGGACAACACTTACCAGTTGGGTCATTTCTGTCCAGTACTCGATCAAATTTTTCAATTGGTGATTACAGGCTCATAATAAGTGATTCTGATGCGTTACTTCAATGGCTTGGACAGACATATTGGAAATTGTCAATGGATACAAACGCTTATACAAACTCGAATTATATAGTGGAATATATGTCCATTGACAGAACAGGTCTTCATCTGCTTGGTCGTAATGGAACAGTGGTCGTGATTCAGGTGCTCTTGTCATCTTCTGACTTGCGAATTGCCAAGTTGGAGTCCTCTGGCCAATTTACTGTCAAAAGTTTATCTGGTACTGACTGGACGCAAGAATTCGGTGGGCCAGCTGATGATTGTCAAATTCCATTAGTTTGTGGCAGAATTGGTTTGTGTACTGCATCCACCAGCCATACTTGTTCATGCCCCGCAAACTTCCATGCAGGTTCAGAAGATACTGGTGATTGTGTGCCAAGTGGTTCTTTTTCTTTGCCGTTTTCTTGCAACTCAACCATTAATGGTAGTCAGTTGAATTCACCAGCCATTTCATATATCGGGCTTGACTACGGTATGGATTATTTTGCCAATGTTTTCTCTGAGCCTGTAAAATATGGTGTTAATTTGTCAACCTGTCAAGCTCTATGCTCAAGTGACTGCACTTGCTTGGGAATTTTTTATGAAAATTCAACTGGTTCTTGCTATACACTTAAAGATGAGTTGGGTTCCATTTTTGTGAGTAATACAGCCAAAAATGACCTGTTGGGCTACATCAAAGCTCTTGTTGGATCTTCTCCATCAAACTTCGGTGATAATAATCAAAGCAAAAACTTTCCTGTAGCTGCTCTGGTGCTTTTGCCGTTCAGTGGGTTCTTTCTGTTGGTAGCTCTAGGTTTCCTCTTGTGGGGAAGACGGAGACAGTCAAAGAAAAAAGAGATAAAATTAGGGCATTTTGGCTCACTTTCTTCAGGGGAGATGGATGCCTTCTATATCCCAGGTTTACCTAAGAGGTTTGATTATGAAGAACTTGAAGTGGCTACAGATGATTTCAAGACCCTGATTGGGTCAGGTGGGTTTGGTGCTGTGTATAAGGGTGTTCTACCTGATAAAACTGTTGTAGCTGTAAAAAGGATAATAAATTTAGGTGTTCAAGGGAAAAAAGATTTTTGCAGTGAGATTGCAGTAATTGGTAATATTCACCATGCCAATTTGGTCAAATTGAAAGGTTTTTGCGCCCAAGGGAGACAACGCCTTTTGGTTTATGAGTATATGAATCGTGGGTCACTTGACCGGAGTCTTTTTGGTAGTGGACCAGTATTAGAATGGCAAGAGAGGCTTGATATAGCACTAGGGACAGCCCGTGGGCTTGCATACCTGCACAGTGGGTGTGAGCAGAAGATAATCCATTGTGATGTGAAGCCAGAGAACATTCTCTTACACGACCGCTTTCAAGCAAAGATCTCCGATTTTGGCCTTTCGAAGCTTCTAACTACTGAACAGTCTAGTCTATTTACAACTATGAGAGGCACACGTGGCTATCTCGCCCCAGAATGGCTAACTAACTCCGCAATCTCAGAAAAAACTGACGTCTATAGTTTTGGAATGGTACTACTTGAACTTGTGAGTGGAAGGAAAAATACGTTACGACTGCAAAGCCATAGTCTGAATAACAGTAGCAGCGGTGGGGGTCAGTCATCATCGTCATCTGGGTCAGCACTTGTTTATTTTCCTCTATTTGCTCTAGAGATGCATGAGCAGGGGAGGTACTTGGAGCTTGCTGACTGGAGATTGGAGGGACGGGTGACAAGTGAAGAGGTGGAGAAATTTGTACGTGTCGCGTTGTGTTGCGTTCATGAGGAACCAGCACTTAGGCCAAATATGAATACTATTGTTGGCATGCTGGAAGGTGGGATCCCTTTGGGTCAGCCAAATTTGCAATCATTGAATTTCTTGCGCTTTATTGGGCGTGGATTTACTGAGGCTTCTATGATAGAAGAGGGAACTGAGCAAATTGATCGTGTGTTGTATCCAGAGGCGAGTGCTTCTCCTACAACAACAACCATGGACTCGCGTTATTACTTCTCTTACGTCTCTTCACAGCAAGTTTCAGGCCCAAGATAGTGTTGAGTAGTTGAGCAGCTTGTGTATAGTTAATCGTGATGAGAATTAAATGTATGTGATTTGGATTTTAATTTTCTTTCTCACTCTATATTGGAATCTACTGTATAATTCTTACATCTTTCCACAAGGTTCAAGGTATGTTGAATGCTGTAATTTGTGCAGTTCCTGTAAAGAGCTCTTTTGAGAAAGTAATAAGACTTAATTGTGTGGAAATTAGATGTAGCAGGTTTGTATTAGATCTTTCATATGAGAGACTGAGAGAGGTTGTCATGGATGTGGGTAAGTTGTTTGTTCATGGTGGCCACAGAATGCATGTATCTGGAGGATGCCTGAGATGTTCTTCTTCGTACTTTTAGCAATGTTATCATATATATGGGCATTGGTTGACAATTTCCTTCTGGATCAGTTGTCTTTTGCTTATACTCACTTACCTCTTCACTAAGCACAGTGAATTTCATGTATTTCCCCACTTGTATGCCTGCGTTTTTTGACCTTTTGTTTGGGAAGAAAAATATTGTGCCTGAGATATTCGCCGATGGGTTTATGCATGCCACTATGTTTTCTATTAGCAAACCTCATATGTCCTTTGCTCACTCTTTGCCTGTTTGTGATACATTCTAAGAAAGTAAAAAGTGGCTTTGGATTTGTATTACACTGGTACTGTAAAGGGGTTTCTTTTCTATGTTTTTTTGTATTGAATACTGTTCTTAACTAATAAGAATTCTTTTGTTGTTTCAGTATTTAGTTTTACAAATATATATTTAACTGTTATTTTTCCCTCTTTCACTGTCTCGATTAATGATTCTGTTTATTCTTACTGCTTTAATCCCACATGGCAGCTGGTGAAAAATACTTTCCTTAAAAATGAACGCACACTCTCAAGAAAAATGGTTGAGATGGTGATGTCACTAGCATTGGAGAAGACAATGTTAAAAGGGGAAATATTGAGCTGCTATATGAGTAAGGTAAAGTATACTCATTTATCTCATCACTGATCTCTCTGACATTTTATATAATATTTGTGTTTAACATCTTTATCTACAAGTATACAAAATACAAAATTAGTTATCACCAGGGATGGCCTTTCTCAGTTTTTTTTAAAGTCTCACTCATGTAACATCAATCCCTCACCTAACTCTGGATGGTTACTTTTTGGTACTAAGATTTATGCTTTTCTCTATTAGTTGTGGTATGCTAGGTACAAGTGATTCTGCAGATATCTTCAGATAACCAGTTACAGAGATCTTTCTTTCCTCTCTTGAGAGAATGAAGTTGCAAGTGTTTGCACTTTCAAATATTTTCTCTTCATGTAGTTGGAGATTTTTTCAGTCGAAGGAGACTAAAGGTTAGTGAAAAAGGAGGCTAGGGTGCAACAAGAGAGGTTTTGTTTTCCCTTTTGTTTTTTACAAACTTAGAACTTAGAAGCTAGGTTTGGTTTTTCTCAAATTATAACATGAAGCATTAGAAAACTGAAATGAAGGCAAGTTTTAGCTTGGTTCATTGGGTAGCCCTATTGTGAGCATCAGCACACCTCTCTTTTCCCTGCTTAATTTATTTGTCTTAACTAAACAATAGCCTGGTACCAAGCAAGCATTCGAAAAGATTACTGTAACAAAGACTGTACATATAACAGACGTAGGGTGTATGACAGATATACTGGGGACATGGAATTTATGGGGTTGAATCAGCCTCAACATTCTATTTTGGGAAGCATCCATCTTGTCTAAGTTTGGGGGAGTCTGCAATGCTTGCTGGGCTAATACCTGCCCCAGAACTTCGATCGCCGCTCAGGGATCCTTCCAGGTTCGTCAGCGCTATTGATGAATTGGTTCCTTTTTCATTTTTTGCTCTGTGCTACTACCTTTGGTAGTTCCATAGTTGTAAACTTGTTGTGCACTTTGCGATTTTTACTCTATTCACTATTTACTTTCGGGTTTATTTCCAAACTAATTGTCAAAACAAAGTTTTACTATGTCATAGAGTAAAAACCTTCCAAGCCAGAGTTTTGAAGAGGATGGTGGACGTAGGCTTTCTTGATTTTGAAACAGCACTTTTTGTCGTGAAACAGTATCTTCCTCTGCATGTTACTGAGTCAGAAGCACCTTTTGTCTTTCTCCCGGGAGGTATGTGTTTCCTATAATTATTACAGTAGCAAGTTTTCTGAATCCCAGATTCTAAACAAGCTTTGGCTCCTTAACGTTGTTTAGAATTTTGTACGAGATATTTTCTGTCATATTTAGGGATTCAGTAGAATAAGAGGTGATGGGCTTATATACAGCTCTTCTATATTCATGGGCCAAACAAATAGGCATTTAATTTTAATTTTTTTGGGTATAAATTTGTCATTTCAGTATTGTTAAATGACTTAATTATTGTTTCACCCCTGGAACTCAAAATCGATCTCACTTTACCCCAACTTAAAATTTCTTACTAAAACTCTCATTCTCTCACTCTGTCTGAAAAGTTAATTCAAAACATGGGGTAACTTTTCAGACGGATTGAGAGAATGGGAGGTTAAGTGAGAACTTTTCGGTTCCAATGGTAAAGTGAGACCGAGTTTGAGTACCATGGGATAAAACAATAATTAAGCATTTTTAAATAGACCTACTCTTTCTTAGAAAGCGATGTCCAAAATAAATAAATAAACTTTTTTGATATGTTTGATTGTTGGTTGGGAAGCTTACGTGGTTGGGTGAATTTAATCCAGTAGGTACAAACTCCAAATTCAGGGACATATGGGACTGGGAAACAGAGAGCAAAATCTGGGAAGCATACGAGGATATGGAAAGATGGGCCCTCAAGGTCCGGGACGGAGCCTCAGCAAAACGTTCTTGTTCTCAAGATTAATTGTGAGTGATCCTACCATTAAACTGGTTCTTCTGGTCCCTCTTGAAGCTTTGTTGCACAGATTTTACCGTATACATCGTGTTACAACTATGAATAGCTCACCATTGTGGCTGAGTCCTTATATTGTATTTAGTTGGCTTAGTCCAAATTTCCTTTTGGTAATTCAGTTAGTAAAAGGGTGCTGACATCAGAGTCACACCTTTTGGCTTTATGGGTTGTATTTAAATGATTTCCTTGGAAATGATTGGCAACCAGAATCAGATATTTCTCTACCATTTCTTACTTTATTGCATTTCCTTTCGCACATAAACCCTGGTCCCTAACAAATAGACTGGACCACCTCAAAAGTAATACATTACCTTCGAAGTCTTGTCTTCTTCATCGCCATTACTAGCTATTTTATTGATGGTGACAAAGGCTCGTAGCTCAAGTGTTTTAGAGCATATATCCTTGCACTTGAGTTTCTAGGTTCGATTCCCCTCTTTTCTAACATCGCTTGTATAAAAATAAGGCTTATTATCACAAAACGTCCCTGACGTTTGCGAAATTATCACATTGCATCCCTAACGTTTTTTTGTATCATTAATGGTCCCTAACGTTAATACAGGTACTCTTAAATAATCCATCTGTCAAAAAAACCTTTAAATTTAGGGGTATAATCGTCAAATCAATCCAAAATTATAATATTTTTTTTCCCTTCCCTTCTCTCTCTCTGTTTCTCTTTTTTTTTTTCTCCTCTCTTTCCTCCTCTTTTCTTCTTCTTTTCCTTCGCTGTTTCTTCTTTTCTCTCCTTTTTTTTTTCTTCTTTCCTTCTTTGTTCCTCATTTTTCTTCTTTCCTTCTTTCTCTTTTTTTCTTTTTTCTTTTTTCTCTTTTTTCTTCCTCTTTCCTTCTCTCGGGGTGGTGATTTGGGTGGCTAGAATGTTGGGTTGGTGGGCTGTGGAATGGGGCAGGGAGAGAGTTGCAGAGAAAGTACATAGAGGGGCAGGGGTATAAGATCCCACGGTGGTGGTTATGGAGGTCGAGGTGGTGGTTTGGGTGGCTATGGGTTGGTGGGCTGTGGGAGGGGGCAGGGAGAGAGTTGCAGACAGAG